CCAACTTGAACCCCCGATTGGCTTCTTCGTGTGGCAGGTCTTACTGATACCCGTCAACCCCCCCCCCCCACCTTTCCAAGTTCGAGAACATAGAGAGTCCATTTGATCACGTGTGTACTGAATAAAATAAATACAACATATGCTTCTTCGCTTTCGCATAGCAGAAAAAATATGACGAAATTGTCCAGATAAACAAGACAGCGCAAGCCGAAAACTTAATTAGGCCTATTTCACACGATGTTTTATCATTGATTATCATTATTCAAGAGTCGATGATTTGTTTTGTTTGTTTTTTTAATAAATTGGTCAGCTTATGACGAAGACGACACTTGTTTATTCATTTTGAAAAAAACTACTAGCGACCTTCGTCAGATCGTAAAACTCGGAACGAAAGCGCTTGTGCAGAATTTAAAAACTGCGAAAATATTAATTAAATATTAAATAACAATTAATAAGAAATCAAGTAAATAAAGAAAATACAGATTAAAGTTAAACAGCAGCAAAAAATAAACTCTGTAAGAAATACAAACGTTTATTTAAACCAAATGGTTATAGGGTCCTTTTTTGTGGATGTCTGATGGAGTACTCATTACCCAGTATGATACAATATAGGACCCCACCGGGTAAAATACTTGCTTGACTCCATTAATAATTAGTGATATTAACTGCAGTATTTATGGGGTTTTTTGTTTACATTTTGTATGCACGTGTTGTTAGGGGCCCTGTAAACCGGCATTGCGATGGACTCGCCAGCATTTTGGTGCACAAATTGTTCAGAAAAAGGTTTTAAAATCGGATAGGTGTGAATTCGCATTATTTATTTTAAGACTAAACACCCTTCATTTTATCCAATCACAGAATTTCGTATTTATACATGTGAAGAAAAAAAACATAGCAGGAACGTCATTTCTTAAAGGCTTGGACTGACAGACTCCCCTCCCCCCGAGATGACGCCGTGTTTGTGTGTTTATAAAGGAAATCCAGCGAATGAAAAAAAGTACAATACAAACTTGACTTTAACACGTCCCTCAGGGGCCCAAGGGGTGTCTTTACAGGTTTTGAACGTATCTTTTCGAGACAAGTTTTTGTTTGTTAATTGATAAATGTTTAAGTGAAATACAGCATCCTCAAGTCTCCGTACTAGTTAGTACTAAGGTCTACCTGCTGGTAGAAATGAATAAAAACCGGATTGTGTAGTTTGTGTTCAAAAAAAGAACAAAAATATCCCCCACTGTCTCGTGAGGGGCCTGTTTAAAATATGTGATGCCGTAATTTTGGAATTTACCGGAAATCTAACAAAATTAGAACACACTGGATCTCAAGAACGATCGATGTTGATATAAACAAATCTGACAAAATACCCTGGATCTCAAGGACGATCGATGTTCATATCAACAAATCTGACAAAATACCCTGGATCTCAAGAACGATCGATGTTCATATCAACAAATCTGACAAAATACCCTGGATCTCAAGAACGATCGATGTTCATATCAACAAATCTGACAAAATACCCTGGATCTCAAGAACGATCGATGTTCATATCAACAAATCTGACAAAATACCCTGGATCTCAAGAACGATCTATGTTCATATCAACAAATCTGACAAAATACCCTGGATCTCAAGAACGATCAATATTCATATCAACGCCAAACATTTTTTTTTCTCAGTTCAAACTGTATTAGAGTCGGTGTTTCACATGATTCAAAGTTGTGTGAAGGTACAGAAATCAGATTTAGTGTCGTACTATGATGGACGTACTGACGTAGTAACTGCATTTGTCTGTATGTGCAATAGACAAAGTATTGACTGATGTACTATTAGAAAGACAACTGTCCTTATATTAAGGCCAGTTGAAATACAGTATTGATTTGAAATCGGCGTGTTATGTTTAACGTGGTTAAAAATGACATTTCTGTTTCCAGTCTTAAGTCGTAATGTTTGTCAGTCGATTTAATTGCGATTGTTTCGGCCTGGTGGTCTGACGTCATCCAAGCCTTCGCTTCAGAAGTCTTGATAGGTTAAATAGAGTTTGACGTCATCAAGTCCTCGCACATTAAATAAAACAATTTCATCTGTAGTTACAGAACGTATATTGTTCAATGTTGCACGTCTTTTGGCCACATAGAACTAGTTTAACGTTTGAAGAATCTGTTGATTTCGTTAGGGGATCCTTTATAAAGTTACAGCCCGATAGAAGGGAATAAATAACGTTAAATATTAAACGATCTTCGTAACATCGCGTATAATCAGATTCAAGTTTCTAACCTGTTTGTTGTGGGTATTGTAAACCTTCGTCAGAGACAATCATGCGTGATATACGAGATAGGTGCGAATTGAAAATAGAATTTCGTAGTCCCCTTTTAGTCTCTATAAGAGAACTAACGTCTGTCTGGCATAATCAAAGCACACGAGGCTTATTTCAGCGAACTCGCTTTTATATAAGGTGTGGGGACGGTCGTAAGTTAGTGGGCTCGAATTGTGAATCTGAAGGTTCATAGCTCGTGACCCGTTGCCGCAAAAACGCGCTTCCCACTTTGGGGCTGTAAAAAAAGAGATGGTCGAGTCCCACTTTTCGGTCAGATAACAGTAGCCCAAAGAGTTGATGTTGAATATGCTCTTGACGAGCTGCCTGCCCTCTAGTGATTAAGTCTATCACTTCAAAATTAGAGGCGATTTTGAGCGGATAGTCAGTCCTTCGTGTAGTTTTGGGCGAAAATGTTAATCAACAACAA